GGGCGAGGGGCAACCACAGAGACGCTCTGGCAGCCAGAGTTTCTCTGTGAAGGACCCAGCCTCTGGTTGCCTCAGGGCACGCATGCCCTGCGCCACTTTTTTAAAATCAATTTTTTTAGACCCCTGGATATCCAGGGGTTTAATTTTCTACCCATGCTGCAAGTTTGCAGTGCAGGGAACATTTTTTTTGTTCCCACACGTGCCTGTTGCCCCGCCTCAAAGGCATTTGAGGCAGGGCAAGAGGCACATGTGCGCTTGTGTGGACACACCCAAAAAGTCGAACCAAGAGCCTTTCAAAAAGTCCAGCAAAGTCACCTCGAAGAAGTCCTTCCAAATCAACATAATTGCTATTTACAATATACATACAATAATGTAGTTATATTACTCATCTATAATTGATCGAGCACAAAATTCTGGGGTATTTTTGGTGAAAATAGGGTATTGGGCCTTGGTTCAGGAACCAATCCCTCATTTATAACACTGTTTCTTATGAGAAGATTGGTTCTGAGTTACAACATTTCGACTTAAAAAGACACAGTTTTCAAGAACCAATTGTGTTGTAAGTCTGAGAACTGCCTGTACCTCAAAGGCACTTTTATACATGCTCCAGGGGTGGGGGGTGGCACTTTAATTAGAGCAGCTTTGAGTTCAAGTACCCCCACCACCATTTTTAAACGTGGGGACGCTGATACACAAGACTCAGGAGGCTGTTGGACTGCAGTAGTTACCATGCTCCAGCAGATTCAATTAATCTAGTCTGCTCTGATGCGCTGAAATTCCAGTGTGTCAGAGCAGCCTCTGCACTCATGTATAGGCACCCTCATATTGGAGGTACTAATTTTAATGTGCATTAGTAAATGCATTCAAGCACGTGTGGATGCACCCAGTGTAACACAGCGTCCCAATATCATAAAGAAGTAGGGCCGGAAAAGACCTCCAGAGGTCATCTAGTTCAAGCCCCTGCCAGAGGCAGGACCATCCCTATCCAAACCATCCTATACAATCCATAACCTAAACTCTACATAAGACTACCATCAACACTGACACAACACAGACCTAACACCGTAATCTGCCACAGGTAAAGAAGGAGAACCACAGCAGCCAACACTCTGCTTCTATGAAATGTTGTCAATATACACTCAAGAGATCCTGAGGAGAGGGCCATGCCCCCTGCTGCAGAGAAAGGCAAAAACCCCTGCAATCCATACCAGTCTGATCATGGGATAAAATTCTTTCCTGACTCCAAATATGGCAAGTGGTCTGACCCTGAGAGGAGGGGCAAGACTCTTTAGCCAGCAACCTGTGGCTTTGGTCCCAGCAGGAGCACTGGCAAACCCAGTCAAAGTCCACATCTGAAGGCAGCTTAAAAACACTCTGACACAAATACCAGAAAGGTGGGAGATGAGGGCAACCAGCGAAGTTTGGAAAAAAAGGAAATACCCACAGTAGAAAAGAGACACGGCTGTGCCAAGATCTTCCCTGATCAGTGGCTATCCAACCTCTTCTTGAACAGAGAAATATGATGATATCATATAACTAAAATACATTTTAACTCCCAAGTATGTAATACTGAACAAAATTTTCAAGAGTGCATCGATGTTGAGATCAGTGCTAAGTATGAACCCAAGCTGAGCTGAAATCAGCCATTCACCCTTTAAGTCAGAAATGGGACCATCACATCCTCCAGATATCATGTGAATCAGCAACAGGTTCATCAAGGTTTCTGCAACAGGTTAAGCTGTTGCAGAAACAACTGCAAGCCAAAATAAAAAAAGAAGTAGCATGTCTTTACTGGCAGAATATGGCTTTAACTTGAAACTAAATAATTACAAAACCTAAAAACAATGCAAAATTGGTACAGACATACCTGAGGGGTAAATGGCATGACTCCAGGAGGCACTCTTAGAAATGCCAGCGTGTGCTTAAAAGAGTGAGTCAGAAGCACATGAGCTGAAAAGTTGAACAGGAGACAAAATCATGCCTCTCTGCTTAATGCCATCACATGATGAGCCCTGCAGCCCTTCATTTAATCAGGGAGGAGGAGGAGAAGGGGAACAGTGAAATATTATTCTTGCTTCTCTGAAGAGGCTGGAGAAGCATTAAAGTTAACCTGTGCTAGAACAGAGTCTGTTCACCTGCATGTGCAACACATGCTCACTAACACCATGAAAGGTTTGTGCTTTCTGGTCTTCCTTGGATTCCTCCTCCTGAATGAAGGGGTTCTGTATACCACTGCCAAACGTGAGTGTTTCACTGCTTTTCGCTCACCTGACCTGAGATGTTTAATTTACTGCAATCAAAGCTATGTGGTTTTTTGTTGCTGCTATTCTTAACTGTAGGCTTTTGCAGATTCAGGTGGACCTTTGAGTATTTTCAGGCTGTAGCTACCTAGCGGCCAGTCTAGTTGAGGGTTACCTGCCTCTGTGGCTGCAAATATGATTTGAGGTGGAAGAGCTACTCTGCTACCTACTTCCCCCACCCAGTCTTCTTTAGGAGCAATTCACCAAGGCCTGGGGTTGATGGGGACTGATCTGTTGTTGACCTTCTCACACAGAAAGAGTTTAGGAGAGGGAACCGAGACTCAGTTGACCTCTTCTTGTTTCCATGAGCAACATATTGAAAGAGCTGTCACGTTTTCATTTCTCCAGCAGAAATAGCACAGCAGCTCAGGGACAGGAGTCCAACTGAATGGGGAGCAATGTGCAAAGATAGACACTTCTCCTCTTCCAAAATCACAAAAGTTTATCGCTATTCATAGTAATCACTCTCATGGATTGTATTATTAAACTACCGCTTTGCATGATGCTTCATGGTCACTTGCTTGTGAAGACTTTTAACAGTAGATGAGGAAAATATTTCTCTAAGTGTTCCCTGAGCTGTAGTTACTTCAGTTTCTCTCCGCGTATTAGAGGAGCTAGTGCTGAAAGTAATTGTTGGCCTGAAAATGCCTTTGTTGTATAATCCTAAGCTTGTGAAACCTCTTATATTTGATTGAAATAAACAAAGTATGTGCTAGGGGGCAGGGAGGAAAGAATTGCCTTAAGAACTTGTCTAGTTTGTTAGATTTTTTTAATGATCACATTTATTACTAAAGCTGAACAAATAGATAGTACTGGTTTACTGACAATTTAAGTATATTGAAAAACATTCAAGTTTAACGCTCAAAATTTTTGGTGAATTAAAAATGTTGCTAGAAATATTTCATTTTGACAAAATCAGAATTTTTTTAATTTCAAGCTTTATAGGTTTTGTTCATATGCAAAACCCTGAAAAATCAGTATCTAACTTTTAAATTAAAAAACTTAAATCCTTGGAAATCATGACCCCTGTGCTATTTGTGACAAAATGTCTGTCTTGTTCATGATAGAGCAGCGCACCCAATAACCAGGTGACTTATATGATGTTTCTGATCCTATATAAAGTTCAGGAAAACCTCTAGGCTTTTGATGGCAGGCTTTCCTGATTTCACCAAGAAATTTAATATTACACCATCATGCATTATTTGACATGTTTCTACAGGTTATTAATTACATTATTTCATTTGGCCTCATGCTGCACATGACCTTCAGAGTTGAAAGGTTGCCAATGGTTCTTGAAGACCCCATGGAAGAATTTAACTTTCTCAGCAGGAAGAATATGAAAAGACAGTGTTTATAAGCTGCATTCACCTTGATCATTTAAAAAAAGCAGGTGTTCCAAGGGGAGAGGGTATGTGTGTGTGCATAGCTTTTGAAATAGAAATAATTTGACTTTATAATTGCTTATGAATTAAATCCTTTCCCAAAAACACTAGCTGTCTTAATGACCACTTCAACCACTTTTTTACATACCATCAGCCCATAAGTGAAAGGGCAACATTATTCCTGGGGTAATGAGACAAAAATTACACATAAAAGGTACAGACAGAAGTGCAGCTCCCTGGTCTAACTCATGGCACTTCACAGAAAGTGCCATGAGTTAAAGTGATCCTCGTGACCCACTAGACATTAGCTGGAGAGGCGGGGGAAGGAGGTTCATTCTGGGGTTTCTCCTGCCTGCGCTGGCGGGTGTGGACTGGAGCCCTCTACCTCAGCGGGCTTCAATCTACCCACCCCAGCCTCCAGCACCAGCCGGGCATCACCCAGAATGAGTTCCATCCACTCCTTTCCCCATACCCTGGCTCCCGTTCTGAATACAGCATTTGAAGAAATAGCAGTATATGGTCCAAGACTTTAGCCCCTTGGTAGCTCATGCAGTCCTTCTCAGAACTACTTGAAAAGTATGTCAGCCCAGCCCTGCTCCTGGCATGTGCAAGCACAAGTTAGCAAAGGTGCTCTGCTTAGGAGCGCCTTCATCTAAACCTTCATGTAATGAATGTTCAGAGTGTCATGAGATAGGGACCTTTTTAAAGCACTTTGCAGCTGTGTACTCATGTTGGGTCATGGGTGTACAGTACTTTCAGGCAAGGAACAGAAATTACACACAAACCAGTAGAAGTGATCACAGACTGGTTGAACTCTGTAAAATGCCAGAAGTTCAGTGTACATAAATTGCTTTTAAAATGGTTGAAACCAGTTTAAGGTAAAACTTGATGGATGTAGTATCAGACTTAACTGTTTTAGGTTAAATTAATTTATTGAACTTCTTCTGTCCCAGATCCCCTCCAGATTCAAGTTAACTCACAGTCCCCTAACATCCCATGATGGTTTGCATCTCCCCCACAAATGCCTCTTCACATGGCGGGTGCCTGTAAAACTTTCTTTAATTCATCTTTATTAGAAAACTAGCCAATTTGCCATCAGGAATGACAGGGGGTGGGGCAGAAGAGTATGGGGACAGAGCCCCATGCCTTCCCCATGCCACCATCCAGGCCTGCTTGCTCTTTAACTCCTGCTGCTTGGGTCTGGGCCCACTCTCCCCCCTCCCTGCTGCAGTGGCAGAAGGGAGGCATGGGCCTGGGCCCAAGGGTGGGGAGAAGCTGGCCTGCCATGGCAGGGGAAGCAGTGGGCCCGGGCCAACCCGGCTATTGGGGGGAACAGGAGGAGCAGGCTCAGAGCTGATGGGGGGGGGAGGAGTGGGGCTGGGCCCAAGCGGGGGAGGAGGCCTGAGCCCAAGCTGGAGAAGAAGCTGGCCCACTGCAGTGGTGGGAGGGAGCAGTAGGCCCTGCCCAACACAGCAGTGGCTGGGGGAGGGGACAAGCAAGCCTCCTCCCCCCTTGAGGCTGGGCCTACTCCTCCCCCACCCTTTCCTACCCCCCATCAGCTCCAAGCCCACTCCTCCCATTCCTCCGCTGCCTCTGGGTCGGCCCGGGCCCACTGCTCCCCACACCGTGGCAAGCCGGCTTCTCCCATGGCTCAGGCTCAGTCTTTCTCCCCCACCATGTGGGACCCAGGACCACTCCTCCCCTCCCCCCACCACCACTATTCTCCTGACCCGCAGCGTGCCCACTATTACCTTGACCCGCATTGGGCCCGCTCCTCCTCCCACCACCACCGGGTCATCCCACAGTGGGCCCTGCAGGTGGCAACGATGCAAGTGGGGAGGGGCGGGCCAAGGCCAGAGCTGAGGCTTCGCCCCCCCGTGCTGACACCGCTGTCACCTGCAAGGAGTGGGGGGGGGGCGAGGCCAGCTCCAGTGGCCTCACCCCCCCTCCACTCCATCATTGACACCTGCAGAAAGCAGGGCAAGGGGGGCAAGATCTTGCTCCTCCTGTTCTGTCCACTCTGTTGCCCACGCCTCCAGGGAGCAGGGCGGGGGTTAGGGTTAGGGTTAAAGTTAGGCCTCGCCCTCCCCTCTCCGTCCCCTGTGTCACTGCCATCATGGCAGTGCTCCATTTTGCCACCAGCTCCTGTTTGAATGCTTGTTCACATTTGGATTGGCTTTTTGTCAGCCAGTCAGAGCATGAATAAAGCATTATGGACAGACAGATAGACAGACATAGGCTTTTATAATATTAGAATACAAAACAGCAACTAAAAAAAAATGTCAATTTTAAAACTGTGGGATGCAAGCATCTCCCTGCCACCCCCTTCAAGCTTTAGTGGAGAGGAAATAGGGAGTGTGTTTTAGCCCTTTCTAAAAATAGCAGAGAGAAGTGTATGTATCACATTTATGTTCATAATAAGAAATACTGGACTTTTTCTGCTGAATGTCCTTTGTACCTGATGTGTTTCCCCATTAGTAAGTTCTGATTCCACAATAAACTGCTTATATAGAGTCATTTTGATATTAAGAGGGTTAGGGTTCAGCTGCTTGAATTCTTTGAACAATCAGGAGTTCACAGTATCATTCCACATTTTTCAAATCAGCTTTTGCGATGTAACTTTTGGTTTACAATCCACTGAGAAGATTTTTCAAGTAGTTCTGAGAAGTAATGCATGAGCTACCAAAGGGCTAAAGTTTTGCCCATATGCTACTATTTCTTCAAGTGCCTTTTGATATTCATATAATTTGCACATACCCTAAATAAAGGAAAGTCTCAGAAGAGTTTATTATTGATAGACTGGAAGACACAAGCTTTATTTACAATGATAAAGTTCTCTACATTCATGTCAGTGAAGGTTTTGGCATTCAGTGCATGAATATTTTAAAATGAAGGCAAAGAAAACATTCATATTTTGTTCACTTTTCTGTCCAGAGTTTCGAGATGTGCTGAGCCATGGAAAAACTTCTTCACATGTCAGGTACCATAAGAAGCTGCATGGCTGGTCTCCTGATCAAAACAACTGGAATGAAAAACTTTATCCATCTTGGGAAGAAGGAGATCCCAGATGGAATGACTGCTGGAGAGGTAGATCTAGATGTGGAAAACTAATGTTCTGGGAAATGTACCCTAAAAAAACCCAAATAGAACATAATGCTATGGACAGTGCCTTTCAGAATGTATATATCCCAAAACAGTAAATAGTTGGGACCAGATTGCCATGCATTGTCTGAAGCAGCGTTACAGTATGTGCTTAACTATTGCTTTACCCGGTGATTCTCAGTCAAGGTACCATGGCACCCTGGAGTTCCTTAAGACCCTGTGAACGGTGTTGTGGGGTGCCATCCACTGTTAGTTTGCAAACATGATTCAAAAAGAAATTAAAAGATTTCAAACAGGGTTCCATAACATTAAACACATTCTAACCTTTCGTGGACATTCTGAGTTCTTGGCAACAGAATAATTGTTCTGATGTGTTTCCATAGTCAAAAAATGAGTGAAAACTGAGAGCTGCCCTATTCTGAGGGATACCTTGAGTCTAAAAAGATTGAGAATCACTGGCTTAGCCTCAGAGTTCATATTTTACTATTGTTGTTCTGTTTTTATAAGTAATTTTGTCTTATACTGTATGTTGCCCTGAGCCCTTTCTGGGAATAGTGGCATATACATCAAATAATTTTAAAAGAGTAATATCAAGACCACTGCTTCTATTAGTGTAGAAGGAACTTAAATTAAGTCAATGGGTCTCTCTGAAACTGTTTAAACAAAAGGTCTCCCCTCTTTTTGATAAATCTTGTTAGATTTTAAGGGCATCGCAGTTGGTTAAATGACATGGGAAAGATTATTGTCAGAAGGATTACTTCAATTAAATATATCATATTATAAGAAGTCATAGAGATTCACCTTGCCCTTAGCAAGTATAGAGAGGTACTTGGAGCCAACAGAGCTACAATGGTGGAACTACTTCTGGATATCTCTCAGCTCTGATTTTTGCATCATTTTGATGTGATCAATTTTTAACATTGTTTATTCAAATTATGCACAGATCAAAGTAATAAGCCAGATCAAAGAGGTATTTAAGTGCCTAAACTATCATTGAAATATATTTTATTTCAGTTTGTTAAATTGATTTTTAATAGGAGTTCAGGCATCTAAATACTTCTTAGGATATGGCTTCTTAGACGGAACCGCTGTATCAATGACATCTAATTTTAATTTCTTCAGGAGGAAGAGTGGTAGCCAGACTGACCACTGACAGCCCAGCTCTAGTGGGCTCAAATGTGTCCTTTGCTGTGATCCTAGAGTTTCCCAGGTGCCAAAAAGAAGATAATGATAGCAACATAATATATGACAGGAACTGCAAGAATGGTAAGTAACAACAGTACTCATGTACTGAGAACACACCTGCATATGATATTGCTAATGAATTCTTCAGGCTGTTAGAACATGACTCAGAAAACTTGTTACTGCTCAGCCCAGCCCAGTCACTGAACTGAATATCGGCATGATACATCCATCACGGAGGTCCTTCTAACCCACTTTATCCAACTGAGATGCTTCACTTCAGGATTTCTGAGCTCACTAAACTATTATTTAATCTCTTACCTTCCTAATATTGAAAGGTAAAACAAGCAGAATTTTTAAAAATAAAAAGTATAAGCTGAGTCTGAAGTTGCAGCAAATTGAGAGAATTTTCCATATTAAAAAGGTAAATCTTTCCCTTGATCAAACTAATTTTAATTTAAAGGGATATCAGAAAATAGTCTTATATTACCATAACTTACTTTTTATCACTTTACTGTAACTCATTAAATACTTTCTGTAGTTACAAATGTTGTGCTTTACCAATGAGGAAATACATTGTTTTAATTCTAATGATGATTATAGATTATTTTGAAATAAGTGCCATGGAAACTATCTGACAAAGTAAACAAGCTACATTTTTCAATTAGCTATAACTCCCATTATGCCAAGATCTGCCTCCAGAATGAGGCTGCAACCCCACAGACTTCAATGAGACAGGAGGCTTTGGTCAACAGTATTAGAGTATCTTTCATTTGAGCCAACAAAATTATTGAAAATGATTAATTTCTTATCTCAATGAGAACAGACCAAGCAGGAAAAAGCTGGACTTGTAATTTGAAAAAAACAGAGGAATTGGGATGTAGTAAATTGTGAAATTGCAAATACTGTTCAGTTACCCAGTCATATTTTTTTTTTTTTTAAAGACCAGAAGGCAATAATGTAGTTTAAATGGATAATTTCAGCACTTTGCTAATGTAAGTGCTCTGGACCTGATAATTTTCTAGTGCTAACAGGTATTACATGCTAACCACACCGCAACCAGAATTAGTCTCTGCCTTTAGCCTTTCATGATACACCATAAACAAGTGGTTCACACATCTTTACATATCTCACCCATGTTATTTGCTTATGTACAGTATTCAAGACAATTTCAATAATATCTGATAGATGCACAGGATGAGTTTGTATAAACTGAAGTATAAGAATACAGGAAAATTAAGTGTCATACCAGATCAGACCAATGCACCATCTAGCCCAGTATTCTCTGATAGTGGCAGTAATTGAGGCTTTAGTGGGACAGTGTAGAAATAGGGTTATCTAAAGTAATTTATATTCCCTGTCATACCCTCCCTGGCACCCATTATAACTAATTTAGAGATGTTAGAGGATACACTCCTGACTGTTCTGTTTAATAGCTTTTAATAAATCTATCATTCATAAATTTGTCTGCTATCTTTTGAAACTGGCTATACTATCTGCTTCTGTAACATCCTGTGGCAATGAATTTGACAAGTTAACCACACACTGCATGCAAAAGTATTTTCTCTGTTAGCTTTAAACCTGTCTCCTGCTAATTTCAGTAGGCTGCCCTTTAGTTCTAGTATCCTGGGACTTGGTAAATAACAGTTCCCTAGTCATTTTTTCCCTCGTGATTTTATAGACCACTATCAAATCCCCTCAGCCTTCTCCTTTCCAAACTAGAGTCCTGGCCTTTTTTAGTTTCTTCTGATACAGAAGCAGCTCCACATCTATCTCCTCCACATGTCAGGCACCCTGTGCCTGTCCCAGCTTCCTAACACCATTCCCTGTGATCCCACCCAACAGCTCTGGGAGCACAGGAATAACAGTGGAATAAGCTGAGCTGAAAAGCATAGCCCCCCACCTCCCTGGCAGCCCCTGTGCCAACCACCCCAAACTGAGCAGTGTACCCTGCCACATGTAAGCAGGTAGACACAGGACCAGGCTGTTTCAGCATAGGTCATTCCCCTCCTGATCTCATGCTCCCAAACCTGGTCAGAGGAGCCCTGGAGAATGTTGGTGCTGGTCACTGACATTCAAATCCCTAGAGGAGCAGTGGGCGTGGCAGGCACTATGCTCACCCACTTGGGTAAAGGCAGGGAGAGGGCAGACAATGGAAAGCAAGGGCAAGGCAGGGTCCTGCCACCCTCACTAGGCACCAGCCTCTGTTCCAGCAGCTGCTGTCATGCCCTTTTTTACCTTCTGCAGGGACAGCTGCCTTCTTCAGGGGTATAATGGCCCACCCCCAAGCTCCCCAATCTGTCCTGCTTTGCAGCCCCTGCCAGCCCTACTCAGTGTGCACCATTCCCTGCCATGCTTTCAGAGGTGCCCTGACTGCCTTACCACCCTATTAGATCCTTCTAATGGTGCCATGGAGCACAAGAAGTTAAGGTGTGTGGGCGCATCTACAAGAGACATTTACTGCACAGTAGACTAATTAGCTGTGCAGTAAATGTCTCAGCATCTACATGTGTACCCCCATTAGGCTGCAATCAACTAATTTACTCCACAGCAGGATAGTACTTGCAAATAGTAAATACAAGTACTATCCTTCTGCAGAGTAAAACACTCTGCAGCAACACATGTGTACATGCTGTGGTGGCTGGTTGGGGCACAAGGGTGCTTCAGTATGGGGGCTGCTTGCTGGGTAGAGCCACACTGAAGCATCCTTTTGCCCCAGCCAGCATCTCCACAGCATGTTAGGCCAGGAAGAACAGCACTGAGTTGACAGACTGAGCTCCCTGGGCCTCCCGGCCAGCCGGGGCTGCTCTAAACCAGCTCAACATGCTACACTCCTGGGCACACATTCAAATGGCAATAAACTCTGGAGTTTATTGTTCTGGAGTTTATTGCCTCCAAGTGCACAGTCAAATGGTGCACCCTGGAGCAATAAATTCCGGAGCAATAAACTCTGGAGCAGAGTTTATTGCTTTGTATTAATTGCACATGTAGATGCACCCTGTAAGGAAAAAAAATAGTCATTAAGTGGGATGCCAGTAAATTCTGAAAAGTTATAGAGGGGTGCCTTGAGTTGAAAAAGGTTGAGAATCCCTTATCTACAGTGACTCCAAAGTCTTTTCCCTGACTCGTAACAGGTAGTTCAGAACCCAGCATTGTGTATGTATAATTAAGGTTATTTTTCCCTATGTGAATTACTTTGCACTTGTTGACATTGAAATTTGTCTGCCACTTTTTTGCCTACTCACTTAGCTTTGGAAGATCTTTTTGCAGCTCCTCTTTGTCAGTTTGGGATTTGACTACTTGGAATAATTTAGTATCCTCTACAAACCTGGAGATTTCACTGCACACTGCATTACCAGGTCATTGATGAAAATGTTGAACTAAACCAGACCCAACACCGTTCCTTGCAGGATCTAACTTTTGACCTCCCTCCATCCACATTTTGTTCCTGGCCGTGCCATTTACTGTGTGACCATGGACAAGCCATGCAGAAATCTGCAGTATTGCCCCACTCTAAGTGAAGACAATTATATTGCCCTCAGAGCCTTCACAGAACTGTTGTAAAGATGAATTAATCAACAGATATGAGTAAATGTAAATCTGTTCATATTTGGGCTATGAATTTAGCAACAGGAAAATAAAGGAAAAAAGTTTAACTGTTTATATAAAAAAAAAATCAATCTGATCTGTAACAATTTCTGCACCTAGATTCTACAGACTTTCTTGACCATTATGTTTACAACTGGACTAAATGGATTGATGACTGTGGTTGGGAAAACTGTACAAGCAACAATACCCATCATGTGTTCCCAGATGGGAGACCTTTCCCTCATCATCCTGGCTGGAGGAGAAGGAACTTTGTCTATTTGTTTCACACACTTGGTTGGTACCATGAAACGTGTCTTGGTCTTGTTTCCTAACTCATTTCTGTAATGCCTTACATTAGAATTCCATAAGAAGAATTGAGTGAAAGAATGGCAAAGGGATTCAGAGCTGCTCTGAGGGAAGAGCAGATGTTCTACTAACTTCTCCAGGTTTTGGAAGTCAGATATTTTCATGATAGATTCTTTAAGACTGTAGATGCACAGAGCTACAACTTCTGGGGGAAAAAATCCTTTCTTAATGGTACTGTATAGCAACATTTATAGGAAATCTTGCCTAAAGGAGTTGTCAAATCTCCTTCACTGGAAGTTTCCAAGAAGAAGCTGTTTAACTATTTGTCTGGGATGGTTTAGGAATAATGCAGCATGCATTTATGGAAAGAGGATTGGACTAGATGGTCTCTGAGGTCTCTTTCAGCTCTGTGATTCCATGATTCTAACCTTTCCATCCTCTGGATGTGCAATGATTCAAGACACTTTGATTCAAGACATCCTTGCTATTGTCTACTCGGTAAATGTGAAGATCCTGACTTAGGTTGGCAACATTATTAGTATTTTTATTATTTATTAACATCATTCAGTGACACTGGAGAAATTAAGACACCTTAATTCATGCTTTTTATCAGGCCAGTATAAGCTGAGGCATTATTCTAATGCCTTTAGAAGCTTGAAATACAGAAAAAAGTAATGGCATTGAGCAGAAGACTGTTATGAAATGCTGTTAAATGTTAGAAAGGTGTATGTTTGACAAATGGAGAATAAGAATAAACTTTCTATGGAATTTTGTATTGTCTAGATCAAAGCAGAAAGTAAACTGAAAAGTTTCTTCTAACTGGTCACACGAAAATGTCTGCTATACATTTGTGTCTCTGTGTAGGCCAGTATTACCAAAAAACTGCAGGCTCTTCAGCAACTGTTTCCATTAACACAACTAATATTGCCCTTGGCAAACATCTGATGGAAGTGCTTGTTTACAGAAGAGGCCATCGGACATATGTTCCAGTTGCAACAGCAAGTGCTCCTTATGTTGTAACAGGTGAGTGTGCTGCCAGAAACCAGGGCCCCCACCCATTCCAGGGCAACAGCTTCCATCCTATTGAGCTAACCTCCCTTGGGCTTGCTCTACTTTTTCAGATCCCACAAATCTTCCCTTCTTAGTGGTCCAATAGACTAGTTTCAAGAAGACAACTAGAGTGTTTTGAGCAATGCTTAGCCCACTGTATTGGGGACACTTTGCTTGGAAGCAGGAGATGCAGGTCCCAACTCTCTCTGGGTGAGAGGGAAGCCTATGACATGTTCCCTGCTCCCTGGGAAAATGCCCTAACTACTAGGCTATTGGGCTAAAAGGTGGGAGAGTCATCTTACTACTGTGTCCAATAGTTGCTAGTCCTGGTGTTTTTGCAACTACAGTTTCAACACTTACCTTGAGTTACACGTGCATCCAGGTGATTTTTGGTCCATCCTGAAGCCTACACAGCCATACTGTAGCCTACTGAGCATGCTCAGAAGGGAAACTCAGGGCAAACATTGCTACCTGAAATCCAAACCAAGTGTAAGTGCCAAAAATTATAATTCTATAGCTGCATAAAGACCATAGAGGCATGTAGAAGTGAAATGGGAATTTAGCTCAAGGTGTGGGTTGGGGTTCCCCCCCCCCGCCCAGTACTCAAAAATATCTCTGGACTTAAAAGTTGATGCAGTTCTGGAAGATGTTTGAGTTCTGTCCAAAAGGTTCTGAGTGCCCTTAGTCTCAGTGGAGTCAGTTGAATATCCTGCAGAATAAACACAATACTTTGTAGAAATGAGTCCTAAATTACAACTTTGCTGCTTAGCAAGCATTAAGATCAAGAAAGAGAGCTAGGCTTCATAAGGTCTGGAATGAAGTTCTCCTAATATATTTGTTAAGAAAATGTGCAAATGGGCCCACAACAATGGCTATTAACAGTGAAAACATAGGAAGAGGGATGGTAATGTATGATGCCAGTAACAAACTATTTATCCAGAATAATATAAAGCAAAAATGCAGACCTTTTAATCTGTGCTACAACAGCTAGTCTGAGCAATCTGGTACTGTAGACTCTTAACTCATGCTATCCTAGACTGGATTAATTCAAAATAAAGATTAAGCTAATTGTTTATTTCCTGTTCCTTGTCTGAAATATTTCTGATAAACAATGGAAACCTTCAAAAGATGCACATGATTCTGGCTGCACATTTCACAGTATTTATTGATATCTCCATTCAGAACAGAAAAAGTGAGTTAAAGAAGTGCAGATTCAAAAATTTAAAAATGGAACCTTAATATGATACAAGATTGTGTGTCGCACTTCAAGCTTTGTAGTCTGAGAGTAGTTGAGCCACTTTTTGACTTGCTTTAATTTTTTCCTGCAGACCAAATTCCATTATTTGTGAACCTTTCCCAGAAGAATGACCGCGATATCTCAGACTTTATCTTCATCAAAGACTCACCTATTATATTTGCTGTCAAAATCCATGATCCTAGCCACTACCTTAATAATTCTGCTATCACCTATACGTGGAATTATGGAGATGGCAGTGGCTTATTTGTATCAAACAACCCTATTATAACTCACACGTATACACTGGAGGGAAACTTTACTCTTAATTTAACTGTTGAAGCTATAAAACCTGTACCTTGTAAGCCAACAACACCTACTCTACCATATCCTGCTTCATCAGGTAAGAGTTTTTCAAACAACAGTGATATTAGAGAACATACTAACAACACTGATATACCAATATTTTTAATTTTACAAATAGAAAACTTAAAAAAATTACTGTGATCCAAGTTGGAGCTACAACGTTTTTGTAAAAAAAGCTGTAAACTTAAGAGTCCAAATCAATAACAGGATAAACACATAGGCTTAAATTACAGATAAAAAGCCTGATTTTTATTTATACTAAGGCAAATTTTGCTAGTTGGAGAGTGTAAAGGAGTCTTCAAGTGGACATTATTATATCTAACTTTACTTTAAAGTTGGAGCAGTATTAAAAGTATTAAGACTTGTCTAAACAGGGAATAACTCCAGAATAGCTCCTTGTGCAGACACTTTTATTCCAGAATAAGTGTTTCTATGGAAATATTTGGGAATACCTATTCTGAGATATTTTCATTTTGGAATAACTTAATAGGATAAATTAGATTTAGGATAAATTAGAATGATTCCAAATCTAATTTATCCTATTCTAATTAAGAATTAAGAATGATTCTAATTCATCCCACTCTAATTTATCCTAGTCTCATATTTTGCTTTAAAATGTAAAAAAAAAAAAGAAAAAAGAAAAAAAAAAGAAACTCAAGTCTTGTCTACATACAGTATTGTTCTCAACGAACTATTCCAGATTAGCTCCACCTACAAACACTCTTATTCCAGAATGAGTGCCTTTTTTCTAAATTAGCTTAATCCATGAATAAATTCTCTTGCTAGCTGTTAAGTTTCATTTGGAAAAAGGTACTTTTCTTGTAGAATAAGAAAGACCACATGTGGAGTTAATCTGGAATTTTTTTTATCTTTAAATTCATGTGTACTTTATTCCAGAAAAACTGTCACTATATTCATTAATGATTTACATTATGATATTTATATATAATATTTATTTTATCATAGAAGTTTACTATTTTAAAAGCTTTTTAACTTCAACTTTGACAGGCATAAAACACCTATAAATAAAACTGGGAGTTGGCCAATAATATTTAAAATTCTGAAATATTAACATGTTTTTTCACCAAATTATTTTGGGGGAAAAGACAAAATATTCATGGGTTTCCCCTCTATTTTTTTCAACCAGATCCACTGTCGGCTTAATGAGAAGCATATTTAAAAAAAAAAAAAGTATTTGAATTCCTAATTTTCCTGGCTCCTTACTGTTTTATTGATTTAAGAATTAAAGTATTAATTTAAGAATTTGAAGCAATTGTTTACATCCACCAAAGGTCTGACATATCACCTTCCCTTGCTTATCCACAAGTGACTAACATAAAGATGTTTTTAGTGTGAAACCAGTAAACGTGTATGAATCATGCTACCTAATTCAGCACTGTACAATGTAATAAACGATTTAGTTTAGCCCTTGTTCCAAATAGAAAGTAATTACAATGCTGTCATATTTTTGGATCTGCTACTTATCAAAATGATCTTTTACAGGGACAAAAACTCCAACTCCAGCTACTACTACAAATGATAGTGCTAGTAAGTTTGTATCTCTTGTGTATATTTATAGAATAATTTCCTAGTACATTATTTTTTCTGATAACTACAGTTTGATTATCATTAATTTCCACTGATATTCACACACACTTTTTATGGCCAGATTCTCACAACATTTGAGGAAGGGACTTGCCCCTTTGGTCACTTTTATAACCCTCCACTCCTGAAGCCTCCTCTCGTCAGAGTAATAGTTCAATGTCTGTCTGTAGCCTGCAGTTCCACACTCCATTTTCAGTGATCACATCCAATCCCCTTTTTCTTAAAAGGAAAAGTTATTTATCACAGGGTGTGTCTACAAGAGATGGTTACTGTGTAGCTGACTAATTAGCTTCACAGTAAAGCCTCAGTGTCTACACATGTGGCCCTATTAGGCCACAGTGAACTAATAAACACCCAGCACAAGTACTATCCTATGGTGACATTATTTAGTGGGCCACAAAGCACATGTGCATGCTGACAGGACTGGATGGGGCACCAGGATGCTTCAGTGTGGGGGCTGCTTGCCAGCTAGCCCTGCACTATAGCACCTTCATGCCCCCACCAGCCCCTCTGCAGCATGCTGAGCCAGGTTGGTGCAGCCCTGGGCTGTCAAGGTGACCCCCTGGGCACCTGCCAGCCGGGGTGCTCCCCCTCAGTTCAATGTGCTGTGATCCCAGGTGCATGTGTAGATGCTACACCTGTAAACAATAAACTCCGGCGTGAACTGCACTGGAGTTTGCGTCGCACTAATAGCATATGTAGGCATGCCCAGAAAGTAGAAAATAAAGGAAAACAACTCTTTATGAAATATAAGCAAAATATATAGATAACAGCATCCAGGATCTCTGTCCATAGTAGCTGACCTCATTGCTTCTCAGGCCTACCTCAAGCTGCCCTTGGTGGCACATGGTCTTAATGTTTTGTTTTGTCACCCAGAGTATCCCAAGATTGGTGACTGCCAGTCGTGCACTATCCAAATATGGTTTTCTACATCAGCGTAGCACTTCAGTGGCAACTCTGTACCATACAAACAATGCCCCTTACCTAGAAAGAATTCTCCAGAGGTTGTTGAAGGCAGCTTTATGTCCACTTTACACAGGACAGCATAAAGGGATGGTAGCAATGACTTTGGCCTACCTGTTTGTCTGAATGTGTACACAAGTAAAAGCAAGTGCCATTCAAAGTTGACTGGCTGTACTAATTCACTATCCTCTAATAGTGAATAGCTACACTAATCATTAGGATAAGCAGAACTGTTGGGCTTCTAACTTAGTTAGAACATGAATGACAACAAGATTAAACCCTTGCATGCTGAAGACTTAAACTGTCCTTATTCTGGCACAGCAGCCAGCACTTTGTTAGTCTGGATGCCCTATGGTTTCCCTAGAAGTTGTAGTAGGTGTCATGTCCCCAAAAGGTATCTGACCACCTGCTTCTAGATAGAATCCTTAACTAATTGTTGTCAGAGCTTCTTGTAGGTTTCCCTGTACAGAGTTTCTAAATCAGGCAAATGGATTTAGAACATACCCTACATAGCCATATTGAACTTACGGCTTGATTCAACACCCACTGAAGTAAGCACAGGTCGTTCGATGATTTGGGTTGAGGCGGGATGAACATAACTTTTTCAGACATATATACAAATATCCAAAATGAGTATCAAAGATACAGGCCATAAATGGGGTATATTGTATAGGTAACATACACTAAAAAGCCTACGTTATATACAGCAAGAGACAGACCAAAGTAAGGTAAGTACTAAACTTTATATACCTTATCAGGGGTGGATCCAGGGAGGTGCAGTGATGCACTTGCACCCCTCTTTGATTCCTGGCCCATCCAAAGTTTAAAACCAACTGCCTGAAAGTGGCAGCAATATTTTTATTCAGGCAGCAGCAAGAGAGTCACTTGACTTTATGGTTCATTATAATCTATCTGATTCCTTGTAAACTCTTGATTCTTCAGAAGTTAAGAGCCCTCTCTCATTTTTAATGATTTTGATGTTCCACTGATTAAGCCAGTCTTTCTTCTGCTTGCTGTCTGGTAGCTGTTCTTTGCGTAGTTTCTATCACAGTCCTGCAGACTGTTTTTGACTCTAGCTAAAAACATTAATTCAGGTCTGGAAAAAGTAACTCAGGTAAACACCAACCCAGGTGTGGAAATGACTTTCAGTGAAACATTGCATACATTGTCAAGATGCTCAAGAAGGCTGGATTTAATTAATCTGAAAGAGGTGTACATTTAATTTTAATGACAACAGAACTAACACAACATTTTTTGCTTATTTTTTGCCTAGTTTGTTGGGGTTTTTTTAGTATAATTCCAGTAATGTTATATTTGTTTTCAGTCTTGAAATGAATAATATAGACATACTCCTAGCCTATTAGTAAAGCTTCTCATTTCTTTTTACCTGGAGAAGAATGCATGTTGCATTATATGTAATGATGCACCACACCATCTGCACCCCGCTTGCCAAAATCCCAGGTTTTGTGTACTGTATCACAATAGACACATACTGGATCTGATTGCAAAGAGTGAAATTATCTGCTGGTGGGTATAATATCTGTGATTAATATTCTCAGACATTAAGAAAATGAAGAAAGAGATTAAAAAGGGCTCCAAATTTCCCACCAAACTGCTTCTTTTGCATGGCTCTGCAGAATACTAGGGAAGGGATTTTTCTTAAAGTTTTGAAGATGATCCTTTGAGGACAGTTGTATCACTGTTCATTTTCTATTATATTTATTTGCAGAGCAAAAACATTTTTTTTAATTATTTTAGCTTCCTTCCCCGTGGCAGGAGAGAACTAAATCTCTTTTGACTCTGCCTTCATAACATGTATTTTGCAAAATACTGTTTAGATGTAACTAATAATAACTTTTTCACACTCAACCCAACAGTAACTACCAATCCATTTGCTAATCTGGCTTCTCCTACCAGTGCTAGTGTAATGGAATACACTCCTGATGGAGGCTGCCATATTTATAGATATGGACACTACAAAGCTGTTATCTCCATTTTAGGTAAGTACATAAATAAGTGAGGAATATGAAAACTGGTCATATAAATCCCATCTTGTTTATCCCATTGGCAGGCTTCTATTGTGTGAACTTCATAAAATGGAACTCTAAAAACTTTTTATATATGGTTGGGCCTAGCTTCTTACAATTTGATGTAGTTAGCTGGTTGTGGTTGGTTGAAGGGGTTGGGTGTTTTGTTTGCATTTTAGTTTAGCTTAGTTTCTTTTGTTTGTTTGTTTTTTACACCATGGTCTATACAGTCACTAAATTCTAAAATAAGGTAGTGATAAATTGGTAAAAAAAATAAAAATAAAAAAAAAAGGTAGAAGGCAACAATTCAATATGGGAAGCAAATTACATGCACTGGAACCCTTTTATAGTTTCTACTCTCTCTCTCAAAGGGAATTTTGGGAAGATAGAGGGTTATAAAGAGACAAGGTCTGAGCTGAATGCTATCTGTTCACCTGCCTTAGCAGCTTTTAAATGTGAAATCTTCAAATTTTTGTAGTCTTTGAGTACCCTGAAAACTTGATGGCCTATTTCCTCCCTTAGAGGGAATCCTTGAGGTAAATATTATTCAAATGACCAGTGTCTTGATGTCAGTGGCCCAAGCGACAAACACCCTGGTTGACTTCGTTGTTACCTGCCAAGGGAGGTAAGTATATAAATGGAAACCTCCTCTCTTGAAAAGTAACCATATACTAGATGCTACATGGATACATGTGCAGCTGCATGAACAACAGTTGGTAACTGCTGTGTGCTTCTATCTGCTGATAGAAACCAAAGAGAATGCAAGCCTAATTTGTAAAGAGTGTCAAGAGAAGCTGTTACCAGGTTCTTGGGATTCAGACTAAGATAACAGGCCTAAGTAAAATAACAGAGCTTATTGGTGAGCAGAGCAATTCTCTGTTTGTAAGGTGAAGATAGCAGAAGTGTAATTTGAAATGTTGGCACCCTAGGTGGCATGGGGTTGGAAGAAGAGGGAAAGTAAACACTGACCTCAGCGTGCAGGGGATGCTGCCGTGTTGGCACTAGTACAGGCTGCTGCTGCCTCACCGCAAGTTCCCCAAACAGACAGAGCCAGAATGGTAATCCCTATGAATTAGCGCCCAGGACTCATCTCCCACCCCAAGTTACGCTACTAAAAGATGATTTTAGCCCTCACAGTACGTCAAAAAGTGGCCTGCTGAAAACAGCAGGAAGCCCTCTTTCTAACTATTATTTTGACATTTGGATAAGCACTTGTTGAAATCATTCCTCGATTGGAAAGAGTATTGTATTAATATTCCTAGCTCCTGGAAAGTGTGTGGACCTGAAGTTTCTGCAAGCTGCCAGGGAGTTTCAGCAGCATAACTGCAAAGTCATTTGTTTTAGAAATAATTCTCAAGCTGATAGGACATTCCTGCTCCATGTGCTAGTGCAGCTAAGAATCTCCATTTTCCAGTTGGTGAACTGCATTAAATTTAATGAATTTTATCAGCTGTTTAGGTAAGATAATTCTGGATTTTGACAAATGTGTGTAACAACTGGTAATTTTATACTGTACAAATATAGATAATGCCAAACATAGTTGTGGGGTGATGTACACTTGCAGGAGCCAAGTGGAAAGAACACAAACTCCTTTAGTCAGAAAATGGGGAATGATATGCCAAGCAGCTAATTTAATGGAAGATTAAGGCTAACAAGACTGAGCTTGTACTTTGTTACAGAAGTCTTTATGTCCATGGAACTTCACGGACTCCAGTGAAATGGAACCATGATAAAACTGTCATGTGAGAGTAGGGAGTCAAAACTAGAAAGTCTATGAATTGAACTAATAGGAATCTACTGACAAAATGCATTCTCTTGCTATTTCCTCACTTCCTAGTCTTCCTACAAGTGCTTGCACAACAGTTTCTGACCCCACTTGCCAGGTGTCTCAGAATGTGGTGTGTGAGTCTGTTGAAATTACTGATGAATGCTTACTGACTATAAGAAGAGCCTTCAATGAGCCTGGAACCTACTGTGTAAACATTACATTGGGTGATGACACAAGCCAAGCCCTCGCAAGCACACTGATATCTGTAAATGGAGGTGAGTCCAAATGCAAAGGATATGTAAGCCATCTTCCCCTATCTGTTTTGTACCTTGAAGTACCCACATTTTGTTTCTTGCTCCTCAAGCAGAGCCTTTCTAGGAATCAGTGGGCAGATGGTTTGTCTCTCCTGTGCATAGCTCTATTTTTGGGCAGCTGAGACACAAGTCAGGTGCACACAAACCATAGTTAGGAACTTAGGAAAAATCATTTGTGGGATAGCAGACTTCCTGTGCTCTGAGCCTGCAGGGAACAGGTAAATGCAAAATGCACCCCAGGAAGAAGCAGGCTATAAGGTGGGCAGGGTTGATATAATTCCTGGAAATTCAGCAGAGTTCCATGGTTGGGCTAAATTGGTGCCAGTGGTTTTCCCTGTTGATGTCTGATGGGTATGGGCTTGAGGACAACCTTAAGGTTGACTCTAACTAGCAATGTAGACAGCCTAAGAGCTAAATCCTCTTTTACTTTCATATATCTATATGTCACTAATGTAGCTGTTTAGCAGGAGGTTTTTTTGGCACTTATGACAGTTGGGAGTTCATTTCTACTTGTGGTAGAATACAGTCACCTTGCATATACATTTCCTGGGGTTGGTAAGAAATGAGAGGGGGAGGAGGACCCTCCCACCTACCTTTTAGCGCAATAGCTTTGTGGTTAGGGCCCTCTCCCAGGGTGCTTGAACTTTGTACGGCATAATTAGTATGTGTAACTGATTTAAATTAATTGTGCAATTAGCCAGTTAATTGCATAATACTGATAAAGCATAGAGGGATCCTAAGTGCCAAAGATTCTGATTATATGGCTTATGGTACTTCCTAAGTACCACTTATGTATGTGAAGGTGAAATAGGATTTTAACATACACTGGTTTGTCCAGTTCTACCTAAGAGACCTGTGGTAGAACCAGGAACTGAACCCAGGTCTTCCAACTGTTAGGCTTGTACCCTGGCCAATGAACCATTCTTTGTTCTTTTCCTTATTCAGTGTCTTCACCTCCCTATTCACTTTAATATCTCTAGGCCAGTTAACCATCTGAGGGCACTTTGCCAGTTTTTTAAAGGTATATAAGTTTTTCAAGATGCAGATAGACATTTAGGAATGTCTGAAAATCACATTCAGAAAGTCAGCTGCACTCTCAAATTCTCTCTGTGAATCTGGTTTTAAGTCCCTTTGAAGCAAATTAAATTTTGAGGGCTATCAACTAGCCCTTCAGTATATTTTCATTCTGTAAAGTAATTGTAAGTTAAGAGACAGCAAGCAGTATGTCTCATGTGTCTAACATACAAAGTCAGATTCAGAGCTCCATTAGCATCAGGAAAGGGTTTGATTCTACAATCTGTAAATGTTTTCATGTTCTTTTTTTTTTTTTAAAGTGCTGAACCCTATTCCTTGGCATGAAAGAAGTATTAAATATGCTACACCTTTTAAATCTGCCTGTCAGAAAGAACAATGATGCCAGACAATTGTATCTCACAGCAAAGATAACAAAGCTAATATTTTAAACATTTTGTGTTGAAATTCCAGGATCATCTTCCAGGACAGCACAAGGTGTCTTGATCTCCTTTGGTTTCTTGGTGGTGTTTGTGGTCATTGTGACTTTCCTTCTTTACAAGTAAGTTGTTGGGTCTAATAGGTATAAGCTGATCAGAACACTGAAAAAAATTGTATAGATATTCTGTTATGTAAAAATCAGAATTTATTTCAGCTATGTTTATATCAATATTTGCTTGCTTTCCACAAATATTCCACCAAATTTACTGGCTACAATTCTCCCAAAGTCACCAAATTTTAAAGAATTTATTGGGAAATATTAAATACACAAGCACAGTCCTGGGCTTAGGACAAAAGAATTCCATGCACCACTACAGCCTGGGGACTGATTGGCTAAGGACCAACTCTGCAGAAAAGGACCTGGGGGTTACAATGGACAATCAGATGTATGAGTCAGTTGTGTGCCCTTGTTGCCAAGAAGGCTAACAGTTTAGTAGGCTGCATTAGTAGGAGCATTGCCAGCAGATCAAGGGAAGTAATTATTCCACTCTATTTTGCACTGGTGAGGCCACATCTGCAGTACTGTGTCCAGTTTTGGGCCCCTACTCTAGACAGGTTGTGGACAAATTAGAGAGTCCAGTGGAGAGCAACAAAAATGGCTCGGGGGTTGGGGCACATGACTTATGAGGGGAGGTAGAGGGAACTGGGTTTATTTAGTCTGCAGAAGAGAAAACTGAGAGGGGATTTGTAGCAGCCTTTAAAGGGTGGTCCCAAAGAGGATGGAGCTAGACTGTTCTCAGTGGTGACATATGACAGAGCAAGAAGCAATGTCTCAAGTTGCAGCAAGGGAGGTTTAAGTTGGATATTAGGAAAAAAATTCCCACTAGGAAGGTAGTAAAACACTGGAAAAGGTTACCCAGGGAAGTGGTGGAATCTCCATCCTTGGAGGTTTCTAAGGGCTGGCTTGACGAAGCCCTGGCTGGAATGATTTAGTTGGGGATGGTCCTGTTTTGAGCAGGGGGTTGGACTAGAAGGGACCTCCTGATGTCCCTTCCAACCCTAATTTTCTATGATTCTATGAAATAGTCAGCTGATTCAAAGAACTGTACTCTTCAGGCACATTTACACATTGCTGTATGGTGACATTACTACAGCACCCTGCTTTAGTACTTCCATTTGTAAGTACCAAAGCATGGCACAATATGGGTGGCTACTGCACTGTGTGCACAGTGTACAGTTAGACTTCGCCACTATGTCACTGTAGCGGTGCACTATACTGGTGCATCCTGCTACAACGACATAGGTGGTGATCGCATGTACACCCACACGATTACGTCACCGTAGCACACCATGTGGTGATGTAGTGCATCGCTACATCACTGTAGGGCAACATGTAGACATGCCCTTCCAATCAGTAAACAGAAACCATACCAAGCCAATCAAAACTAATCAACAAGGCTTAAAGTGCACATTTGAAATATTTGCAACTGTGTGTTATTAATATTCTCCAGACCAAGAAATAGTCATCAAAATTATTCAATTAATGTTCAATTAATTGAATAACTCTGAATGATAGACACATTGAGAAAACAGTAATGGGTTTACAGGAATTTCACAAACAAAAACATTTATTATTGCAGCATTGGGTTTTATCAGGTCAGGAACTTGTTGTGCTAGATAGTGTACAAATGTATACAGAATGACTATCCCCACATGAGATCTTACAATAGAAAAAGAGGCTAAATTTATCATATAAATTATTTGTGTAGTGGTAGCTAAGAGTATTCCCACTTCTTCTAATTATTGAGTTAATTTGTCCTTCAGACTTGCATTCTATCAGCATTCATATTCATTGGCCATGTCACTTAGGACATTATACACTGTTCCTGTTCCCTTTGAGCGAAAAAACCTCCTATCTGTAATTATGACTCAGTTTAAAAATTGTTACAAGCTGGCTTCTTGTACAGTTCTCCTGAGACTGTTTGGACAGGGTGTTTTTTAGTTTAGGGACCGCATTAAGATCAGAGCCCTTTACAGCCTGGCTAGAATATCAGAGTAGCTGGGGATGCATGTTAGAATCCTTTCAGAACTAAATATGCTTTAAAAAAATCATAGCTAGCATCATTCTGCTTCCAGAGCCTCAGAAATGCAATGTGATAATGTGGGAAGAGAGACGTACAACAACGTCTTCTCCTTTCCAGTAATATGCAGACCTGTGTGTATGTACATACAAGCCTGTGCAAAACTGGTGAAAATCCTCAGTGGAAATGTGTCTCAATAATGTCTATAAACCTGGCAGCTCTAACACAATCATTCAGAATTAGGTTTTGTCTTTACTTAAAATAGTTGGCTGATTTAACTCTAATTGTGTAGCTGTACCAGCAGATCCCATAGTGGAAATACAGCGATATCAAGAAAAGAGTTTTTTTGCTGGTGTAGCTTAAGCCATCTTCAAGAGAAATAAACTATATTGACAAAATGCCTTTCTTGCTAAAACAATTGTATCTTCACTAGGGCTTTTTCTTTTGATGTAGGCATGCCAGTTTGAGGTGAGGTTTTCCCACATCACTAACCAACACGGTTATGCTGGTAAAACTTCCTAGTTTGGCCCAGTCTTAGTTTCAAGTGGCATCTGTGGTAATTTACATTTGTGGGGAAGAGTGAAAGAAGACATTGCACAAATAATGGGTTGTCTGGTAAGGCATGTCTACACACTATCTGACTGTGCTGCAATAGATTTCATAGATGTTAGGGCTGGAAGGGACCTTGAAGATCATCAAGTCCAACCCCCTGCCCCAAAGGTAGGAAGTCAGCTAGAATCAAAGGATCCCAGCAAGATAAGCATCCAAGCGTTTCTTGAATGAGTCCGGAGTAGGTGCTTGCACCACTTCTGGAGGGAATCTATTCCAGGTCTTGGGGGCTCGGACAGTAACGAAATTTTTCCTTATGTCCAGCCTAAAATGGTCTTGGAGGAGTTTATGACCATTGGTCCTTGTTTTTTTCCTTGGGGCACTCTGGTGAACAGACGTTCTCCCAGATCCTGATGCACACCCCTTGTGTACTTATAGGCAGCCACCAGGTCCCCCCTGAGCGTGCACTTTTCCAGGCTGAAGACTCCCCTGGCTCTCAGCCTCTCTTCATAAGGCCTATTCTCTTGCCCTCTGATCATGCCTGTGGCTCTCCTCTGGACTCTCTCAAGCTTCTTGACATCCTTCTTGAATTGTGGAGCCCAGAATTAGATGCAGTACTGCAGCTGCGGCCTCACCAAGGCCGAGTACAGCAGGAAGATGACATCCTGGGATTTACTCGAGAAGCATCTATGGATGCAAGCCAGAGTTTTGTTTGCTTTACCAGCTGCGATATTACATTGGTGGCTCATATTCATCTTGTGGTCAATCATGACCCCCAAGTCTCTTTCAGCAGTGGTGCCAGCAAGCGTAGCACTGCCGAGCCTCTAAGTATGCTGCAGGCTTTTTTCCCTGAGGTGGAGTACCTTACATTTATTGGTATTGAACATTATCAGGTTTGTATCTGCCCACTTACTAAGTTTGTCCGAGTCAGCCTGGATCAATAGCCTGTCCTCAGGTGTGGACGCTATGCCCCAAAGTTTAGTATCATCAGTGAACATAGCCAATGGAAACAGGAACCCACCCACCCCTTTGCTCCCACTTCACACATGCTGATTGCCAAAAAATGCCATATTGCTACTTTGTAGAACACACCCTAGCACAGCTCTGATGTATTCAGTCTTGGCGTGCTCATTACAGTGACACTAAACTCTAATGGCATTTTTTCCATCATGAAACACCACAGAGTGGGAGCAAATGGCACAGTTTGTTTTGATGGCAGTGCTCCCTATTGTGGTCTAATACAGTGTAGAGATATATCTTTATATTCATTAGTTGAATCTTAAAATGTGCAAACATTAAAATACCCTTTTAGTAACTAACTTGAACAATGTTTCTTTCAGGAGATACAAAAAGTATAAACCTATTGAAAGAAGTGCAGGACAAGCAGTGAACCATGAAGTACTGAGGGTTTACTTCAGCAATTTCAAAGCAATTCTTTTTGGTGGAAGCAATGAGAGGGATCCTCTGCTGAAAAGCAAACCAAGAATTGTTTAAATCTTTAGTCTAACTTCTAATTGTACACTGTGTATGGATGGGGCTTACATCTGAACTGTGCTTCAATGAATATCTCTGTTATATAAGCACAGGGGTCTGGCAAACTGCAAACGCATGTAGATTGATCAATAATATTTTGTGGCTCAGTGCATTTTAGCAATGTAAGATGGCCTCTTTCAGAGAAATGGAATAGCTGAGATTTGCTTATGATCTGACTCTAGAAAGAAGAATTAATTTAAAAAGGTAAGCATTTTGGAGTCTTAAATAAAGATTCCCTAGTCCCAATGTACTTGCTTATTCCCCTGTTTGTATGCATCTCTCAGTCTGTGTTTTGTGAGATAGCAAGATTTGGCTAGTAGCCATTGTGACCACTTTGTAAATCTAAATCACTAGTATCAGGACAATGGACAAAGTAGTGCTACTGCCTTTAGTAAAGGTTATTTTGACTGATTGGTCCTGGGGATTCTGAACTGGCAAAGCAATAGGCAGTAGTGGGTTGTGATCCTTCAGAGGAGTAGACACATGTTAGGTCTACAGATGAAGATTAGGATAGCAGTGCTTCATAAAGTTTGATAGAATTCAACTGCAAGAGCTTTCCCCCACTTTTCTCACTTTTTTCCATCTAAATAGCCATTCATTTCTTCCATTCCCTTCTTCTTTGGCTATTTCCCCCATATAAACAAAAACCTCAGGCAGAGTTTTTCCAGTTCCTGCTTTTCCACTAAGAAGTCTATGAAATGGTAAATCCGATGGATAATGTGGCTTTGCTTGCTGCCCTGTGTTAATTTTCAGCTACAAAATTCCCATTGATTTCTTTGTCAAGTGATCTAGTAAAACCCTGTCTTTTAGCCAGTCACTCTTGTAATTCCATACATAGAATTTGGGACTGGGCATTTTACTGTTGATATCTTAGAAATAAAAACAAGAATGGAAGTGGATTATGGAAAGTCTTGCTTGTGGAAGCAAGAAGAAGGATCAGGAGATGAGTAAATAACTAGCAAGGGTCTAAACAGATGATTTGATGGAATAGTTAAAAATGGAACAAAACTACCTCTTTTAGTCTTTTAGATGGGTGGTTAATTTCACTCAATTAATTTTTGAAAACCAGTCACTGACAACCTATATCCTTAGAATCTGGAGCATCTTTACAATTTTCTTCGTTCTTGTAGAGAGAGAGAGAACCATATTTTGCTATGCTTTTAGTAGCAGTTGCCTGATGCCATAAATGTGACCCATCACACACATGCACACATCTTTTAATCATTTGACATGTTCAACAATTGCTCATCTGTGACACACCTCTGTGACTAGCAGTTGCTCTCACAACTTGCTCCTTTTTTAATTCTGCTATGGTCATTTGGAAAAAGATGAGAAAAAAATATCAAATTGGTCACTGCAATGCTCTTATACATCTTATTATTTGGGCTTGTTGAAGAAATTACTGGGTGAAGTACTTTGACATATGTAACAAACAGTACAGTCATAGTAGGTTAGACAAGTTTAACTGAATGGTTCTTTCTGACCATAACATCTATAAATCTAGGGGAGAAATTAAAAAAAAAACAACTTGAATGCAACCAAAGAAAGAATGAAGGAGAGAAAGGAAAAGTCTTTAAGAAGGATATTAAGATTTGTTGGGTTTTGACATATGCATTAAATCCTAGCAATCTAGGATTCATATTTATGAAGCATCTATCACTTTGGCATCTATCACTAATTTAACTACAACCATACACCATTCTAACTTGACATAGTTTATCTAAAGAACCTGAACAATCTAATTTGTTTGATATACATAGTAAGGAGGTCAGATCCCAGACTGGTGGAAGCATATTTTACTGGTAACATTGAGAATGCCAGTGCATAGGGATGAAGATGGGTAGGTAATATCCCTTAACATAGGGCTTATGTTGGGGTGAGGCTAGAGAAAATGTCACATGGCCAAAACTCTACTATGTTCAGTGATAATTGGCTATAAATTGGCTACTGTGTCCAGGCAATAAGTGAATGCCATCCAAGGCTATTTGAAGATGCAAATCATTCAAGAAAGTTAAAGCTGCCCACTCCACTGCCCATCCCCCAGGCATTGTCACTGCACTGAATGGAGCTCTGACACAGATAACTGACACACGAGTTTAGTAAATGCTTGCAGCATTGATATCTTAAATAGGCATAAGGTGTTGAGTAGGTTATGGCTGCAGTCTGCATTTTTCTTGTTCAAAAACTGAAGATTGTAGTTTCATACCACAGATAGGAGCTGAAACTTCCTGTGGCAGAGAACAGGAACACTGAACATTTATTTGCATGTTGATTAGAATTCCTTCAAAAAAAATTTCTCAAATGCATTTTTAGCCTTACAGAGAGCATTAGTAAAACTTGTTGTATGTACGCACAGTCCTAATTTTCAGATTAAAAGAGCAAAATTGTAAAAAGAAAATATATAACACAAATTATGATCTTAAATAAAAGTTGTTGTTATACATATAGTGACAGGAAAGTGGTAAACTGTATTTTGTCGGTGTTCCTCTAACTTGGAAGAGGGGAAAGTTTACTGAATTCCATGATTCAACGAAGGATCCCAGTTCTAGGTTCTAAATAATTTTCTTTTTAAACAGCAACAGCATGTTACTTCCAGGAGAATTCAACAAGCTAAGCAAGAGACCAGAGGCATCTAATGCTCATTTATACAATAAGTAGCTTTCTGCCATGCTTTGAAATGTAATTCATTTTATACTTTAACCTAAATACATTTAACAGCTTGCAGAATCTTTTAAATTTCATGCCAGCTGATTAAACTTTTACAACCTTTTATTTTCTGTCTTCCCTGCAATAACTTACAATAAATCTGGTTATATGTAATGGGATCTGACTGCTGTATTGGAAAATAAACTATCTAATGATTTCAAAGAGATGTAAAGAGGTGTGTAAAGGGATGGCATCAAATCAAAGTAAAGTGAGCCATCTAATTTCTAATCCTTGGAAGAGTTGCTGCCTCTAAAAAATGAACCAAAGGAATTTGCAGTTACCCTGTAGGCATAAAGAGGACTAAAAGTAATAGGCAACATCATGTCATCCTTTTCTGTTCTTGGTGGTGAATTCTGAGTTTTCAACTGCTTCTGTTGTCTTTCTGCCTAAACAACTTGAAATATAAGGAGAGCTTTCTCAGCCACCAGCCCAAAGCTGTGGAATTCAATCCCAGAAAAGATCAGGATAAATATAATTTTATTTCAGCTAGAAGTTGATGAACAAGTGGTAACAAATGTTACAAGATGTGTAAACGTCAAGCAAACCCTTAGCATAACCAGTAGTTTAGAAAACTATACCAAATAATTGCGCCTCAAAAAGAGAAGAGATTCAAACTTAAATAAACCTCTTGCTTAAAAGCAATATAGAATCAAATACTAAATCAAGAACAAGTTGTAAAGCAAGTGCAAATGTTGCAAATTTATCTCATTTTGAGCTGTGGAATTGCATTATTAAAAATGATATTTTTTTCCTAGGCAATTAAAAATGTCTTTTCAGATGTTGTTAATGTTATTCCTACAACAACGTAACTTTTAGGGAGAACTCTCCGGAGGCATTTTTTTTGGAAGTCATAATGGTGTGAAAATTAAGGCTTAGAATAGATTTGCTCATCCCAATTTTAACTGTAGGGTTGCTACTGTGACTAATGCCTCCAGCCTGGGCTGTAGCTTTTAATGTTCACCACAGTAATAAATATGCTAATATATTCATGTGAACTGTCAGAGATAAAGACTCTCAAGCTCCTCCCAGGACAACTTCATGAGTGAACTTAGAATTGCCTCTAACCTTTAACCTTTTGGAGGAGGGTAGAATTGGGTGTAGTAGGGTGGAGTGCTAAACAAAAGCAGACCGGTCCAGACACCAGCGCTCTCTGCTGTTTCCAGTATATCATATGACTGCAGTGGAAACATGAATGCAGTACAAAATGAAATAGTTTGACACAAGCATGATTTCAGTACTTCATGATATTAAGCCCTGAAGTAATGGGAAAAGCTGGGTGGAAATAAGAGGAGCAGCTGGCTTGACACCCTTTGGTCTTTGAATGACTTTTTTTTCAGACTCTTCATAGATCCATAGAAAATGAGGGTTGGGAGGGACCTCAGAAGGTCACCTAGTCTAGTGAACCACAGCTCAGAGGAGGACCATCCCCAAGTATCTTGTCCCAACCAAGGCTTTGTCTAGCCTGGTATTAAAAACTTCTAAGGAAGTCTACACTTGACCTATTTAGACACTGCATTTAACACCTCGCACCCTATTTTTGTACCAATTCTTTAAAAAAATCTTCAACCTGCCGCTTCAGGGGCATTATCATTACCAGCAACATGACCAACAGTCCCAATGAGCATGCGAAGGGAGTGAAAGGAGTCAGACTAGTCTCCACAACCGGTGCCCTCAGAAAGCATGTCACAGAGGAGCTTGGAGTTCAGCGGTGTCTACTGCACTTTTGCCAGGAATGGTTCCATCTGATAGACAAGGTTCTTTGGGTGAATCTGATCTCTTTTATTAGACCAACTTAAAGCGTTGGGGGGAAAAAAAATTAGCCAAGTTTCGGATTTAAAAACCCTTCGTCAGGCTGGGGAAGTCTCTGCAGTTGGGATGTGCTCGTCCTGGATTTGATTGAGTGGGAGGGTGGTTAAACGCTTGAGGGCAGTTGGCACCAGCGAGACCACTCTGTCTGCTACGAGGCGCACGTCTTATTTGAGTGTTTTCTGCCAGGCATGAATGCAACGTGCTGATTTTATCCGCAACTGCCTTGTTTGACTACAATATTTTCCTCCGTTGCTGATGATGCGCCAGACTTTCTTTCTTGTCCCCACCAACCCCAATAAAAATCCAGAGACCGCTGTAGCTTCAGGCTTGCTGAGCCACTGGGAAGCCCCGCCCCCAACGGCAGCTGCTGGCAATTCCGCCCTTTCCCCCAGGCCCCGCCCACCAGCAACCGTCCCCCCCCCGGCCCCGCCCCC